TCATCAGCAAACTTGCTGAGGGAGCACTCTGTGCCTTCATCCAGGTCATTGATGAATAAATCGAACAGGACTGGACCAAGAACTGACCCCTGAGGGACCCCACTAGCTACAGGCCTCCAACTAGACTCTGCAAATAGAAAAACAAGAGATAGAAAAACAAAACTGACCAAAAGAGCCGTGTGAAGAAGACAGGCTTAAATTGTTGTGTATTTACCCGAATTTCCCCTTATGAAATAATTGGGGCTTTTTTACTAATCTGAATTAATTCTGACACTGATTCCAGGCATGGTGAGGGGAAACATCCAGATAACTTTCAGTTTATGACCAATAATCATGTATCTCCTCTTACTTATTTGTTTTCCTTTTCTACCCCTTAATCTGGCGCCCTTCTTTTTATGAACTAGTCAAATAGATCACTCTGAAGTATGAGAATGCAACATTTTTAAATGAGTTTTATATGTGAAACATTGTTGAGTGTTAAACTGCTCAAATATTTCTCTTCTGCATGGAAAGAACCACCGTTGTCACAGTCTGTTGGATTTGGACTGGTCCAGGAGAGTGGTGAGTACAAATGCGAAGGAAATTACCAGTCTGTCCCAAGGAACCTAGGGGATGCGAAGGATGGAATCCAACAGCGATGAAACATCCAGTCTTGTGACTAATACCTTGTTATCTAGGATACACAGGCAGCTACGCTCCTGACTTCACCTCTGACTTCAACGTGTCTGTGTCTCAGTTTGCCAGTGAAAATAGTGAAAACAACACTGTCAGTAAGGGTGTCTGCAAGACCCTGCTAAATGTCGTCTTTCACATCCTGGATATTCGTGGATGAAGGGCAGCACCAGAGCGTGAAGTATTCCAAAGGGAATCAAGGCACAAGGTAAATGAGTAGGAGGTGAGAACTGGATGCAGCAGCCATGACTGTAATGTGATTTCTGGGCAGTGATTCAGCTTCTATCTTCCACTATCCATGTGGGACAGCCCTGGCTATCAGCATCTTTTCTTTAAAGGATGAACTGCAATTTATCAAAATCATGGAGCCATTTCCTACTGCTTTGGGAAGCTCCCCTCATGCTGTACGTATGGTCGATGGTTGAAGATGCTTAGAACAGGGACTCTCCTGTAGCAGCTGCTGCTTGAAAGTCTCTTGCGTAACCACCACGAGGGCATATTCCTACAGCGTGGTGGTATAAACGTTGCACAACCAACTGTGAAGAACTCAGGTACATTCACATGAGTCAGCACTGTTGTGATCAAGAAGTGAATACGGCCTAGGGACGGTGTGTTAGTAGTAAAGAAGTGGTTCCAATTTACTTTGAAACTAGCTGCAAGCTACCTTCAACCCCAGGAAAGATTAAGCACCTGTGATTTATTTAGATCTGAGCTGTGTGCAGACACTACCAAATATGCCTCCTCTCCTGAACTTTGTCCCTTCAAAGTATTCTGCAACCTCAGTAGCACAGTGGGCAGGTAGTGACTGCAGTTCATCTGCATGGGGAGGTAGAGCAGCTGGGGAACAACAGCCTTGCTGCACAGTCACCAAGTTATGAACAGTGAAAGCAAGATTTGAAATCATGATTGAGACTGGCAAGCAATCGTTTGTGTAGAAAGTGTCTTGGCTTTAGAAAGGACTCAACATTCCTCGCAAGATTATAAAAGGAAAAGCAGATGTGAGAATATTTATAGAACAAATAACAGTTACAAAAGTAAAGTTTCGTGACCTTCTGCTCTACAGCCCAGCAGGAAAAGAACAGTTTAGAAATGATGGCAAATTGGTTGGGATTAAATACTCAACTGGAAACTTGTCCCAGAGCTCAAACAGGGCTAAACTTTGAACTTTTGTGATTTAAAAAGAAGATTTTATTTCCTTCAAACTTATATAACTTCTGTTATTTTTTCCATTTCAGTTACTTATGTGCTGCCAGGTATGGAGAGAATCTAAATACGGGTTAGCCAACTTCAGCTTCTGAACAAGTGCGTTTTTGAAGTTGGCATTCTCCTTGTGAAGTCTAATCCACTGTGCTTTTCAGATTTAGATCCCAGTTTCAAATTTAGATCCCAGTGGAAATTTTGGTCTGACTTACAGCCGTGCAGACCCAGTAGCTTCAATGAGCTTCTTGTTTCTAAGTGAGGACACTCCACTTGACCTGCCGAAGCAGATGTTTCACTCTAATGACAGCTAATCTAAAAGCCATTTGTTTAACTATCATCTTTCTGGGCAAGATAAACTATGTTATCATTGTACTTCTTCTGCATCAAGCGATTTTCAATCTGCCATGGCTCCAAGGAGTTACTGTGGCCATTAATTTAATATGTTACATGAGATTATCCTTGGCATTGTAGTCTGCCTTTGGAGTCTTAGTTATTTTAATCACATTTCTGCTAAACCAGTCTATGGTGGAATCTGTTCATTTGGTCAGCAATTATTCAAAGACAGTTTAAAGAAAAATGGCTTGTTACTTAGAAGGCATAGCCTGCCAAAGCTGTGAGATCGGGAAGGCTCGTCCTGCTTCCTCCTCCTCCTGCTGTGGCTTCCAGAAACAGCTTCTTCATACTCACTCTGTAGGATGTCAGTGAGTGCTGCCAGCCTGCACTTGCACCTGCCTCCTCTTTGACATCCCAAGCATGGGACCAGTGATTTATTTTACCACTAAAGTGCTAGGATACAGTGCAGAGTTTAAGCTGCCAGCTTACCTGTGTGATTAGGTGTCTCCCTTTTAGCACCTTAAAAATTTAAAGATACAGCCTGATAATTTCTGTATTCATATGCTCTCTGTGTGACTCCAAAAAGTCAACTGTTAGAGAGAATAAAACTAATATAAGCATTTCTCCACAGAGCATAGAGGAAATTAAGAACAATATCTGACAGTAAGTCTACACATCTCATTCTTGAACTGCATCACAGTAAGTAAGGAGAAAATTTAGCAGTAGAACCAGCAGGGAATTGTAGGAGGGAGCAGGAAACCCAGGAGAATGTTAATGATTCCATTCTGTTCCTGTTCTGCATTTCATTATGTCCCTTAGTTGTGCTTTCATCTCCAGATAAGTATTGGTGTATGCCTAATGCAAGCTAGCAAATATGCTCCTTGAGTGTCACATAGCACGATGTATGGGGATCTGAAGTCACGAGGGAGCCACATTTTTAGATCCAAATCAGTCATGGATAAAATGAGAAAGTCAGTAGTTATTATTTTCCTGCGTAAAATGACCATCTCATGGAGCATCTTGATTGCTTAGAAACCTCAGATGTCATATTACGAGACCTTCAAGCACCGGTAATATACTCAGTACTTTTTTAAAAAAATATATTAAAATCTTACAGTATTAGAAACACTTCTGAGACTAGATTGTCTGAAACAGGAATGTTTATTTTAACATGGAGTTTTAACCATATAGATATTTATACCTTCCATTTCCTGGGTTTTTTGCAATCTTGCTAGCTGTATTTTTGCACTGTTATTTCTTCTTCTGCATCTTCTGTCTGTTCTTGGTCAATAAAATCTACTTATTGAAGAAAAGAGGTAATTAATCATCTGTGTACATTGTGTATGCCCACATCATTAATGTGTTTGGATGTTTTAATTGATGGCATTCTCAGCTGGTATGGATGGCTTAAAATGGGAGCGAATGCAAGCCAGTTAAGCCTCCTAATAAACCTGACTGATGAACTGCAGGCTCATCACATATCAGGTAGAGGTATAGAGGGAAAAAGTGGTAAGAGTTCCAGAGGTAAGATTAGCAGTGGGAAGATCTGATTCTTCATGTAGTTCATTTATTTTATTTTCACTGGTGCAGATCTTGTGTTTATTCGGTTGATAATAACAAGGGGTGAGAAACCATAAAAGCAATTAGATACCTTCTTACTAGGCACTAGAGTGCCTAGGCTTGAGCCCCAAAGCCCTTGCTATGAACTGGAATCTGCATGGCAGACAGAAATCCTGTACTGTGTGCAGCGTTTTTTACTGGAGAGTGAGCTATATGCCAGCCTAAGAAGCAGCTCCACCACAGTGGTGCATGTGGAATGCCAGGCCTTTTCCGTGCTGACCGTGCTGCATTGTTGGACAGGCAGACACCTCTCTCCATCTGGCTTCCATAGCCAGGGTACATTCCTGGTGTCTGGCACTGCCAGCAGTTCCTGTGGAAGAACTGACCAGATCTCTCTATCTTCTCTTGTCCAGCAGCTTCCAGTACTGCCACCACCACCACCCACAAAACCACCACAATGAGCCCGTTGTTCGCTCAGGTTGTGAGTTCAGTACCTCTTCAACCTGAACAGTACAGACCTGCCAGCTTCCACAGCCGTGTCCCAGTCCTCAGCGGGCGTGCGGGAGGACGTAAGGTAGGGCTGAAAGGGGAAGTTTGCTAAAGGTTAAGCACAGGTACAAGCATTTTGCTAAATCAGCATTTCACACCATGGACAGTCTTGCTGATCCTAGGTGTATTGATTTATTGAGAAAGATCTTAAGAGTT